TAATCCGCTTGGCTATCAGAGTAAATAGATACATACTTAGTTAGGCTAATGAAGCCTACATTAGGAAGGAAAAGACAGCTTGCTATATCAATTTGCTTTTAATCAAATCTTTAACATTGGATAGTACACTGGCTTCCGACCGAGATCCTGTTTATATTTTTTTTTTTTACTTTTAAGAATCGTACTTCAATATTGACATCTGTACAGCAGCTTCTAAATATTTCCAGCTGAAAATTATACAGTGAACTTGTCTGGAAAATCGATAGCGAGAATAACAGCGCCACGCTAAATTTTCTTTCATCTATAATTAATTGTATTTCGCACTCACAACTTTTTTGTTTCTATAAAAATATTCTGCTCTTCTAAAAAAATAAATTCCTTTTCTCTCTTTCCAGCTGGTCGCACACAACCCTGGTGGTGCCGTAACAATCGTAATGGTGGCTCCAATGGCCGTTCTACACTCTCCATTAAGCATCCCGCCGATAGTATACGAAGGCGTCCGAATAGTAACTCTGGTGTTTGGTCGTGGAGTCGACGCTCTTCAGCCAGTCCCGATCAAATCGGTCCACCATCCTCATCACCCGCCGAAAACCATTACACACACATGGATGATGCATATAGTCCGGTTAATGAGGCACTGTATGCTGAATTAGACCGCGAATCGGTACGTTCAGGAAATCCGTCTTATCAAAATACGGCCTACAGTCAGTGTGGTGAGGTGAGTTAAGGGAAATCTTTAGAACTCAGAGGGGTTATGTGTTTTGGTGATTATTGTCCGAACGAAATTGTTTTAGCAGTGGGGAATAGTAGTAAAGGATTGCCACATGAATATCTATTACCTTGCAAGTTTATGTAGACATATTTGAAAGTATTTCGGAAAACTGGAACAGCGCCTATACAAAAGAGAGCAACCTCCTAGCACGACGGTGAGTACTGTGCCGCTATGTAGGTTGTTCAAACCTGTCAAACCTGTCAGGTATTCGTCTCGACTCAGTTGGTTGTGTGCGGGATTATAGTATCTTCTTCCAGCAGACTTAGATGTCTCCCAAATGGACGCGCTGATTTAGTTTTGCCGAGGCGGAAGCATTTCGACTGAAATAATTTGTGATCTTTTACCAAAAGTGAACAGTGAGTACATTGGGGGAACCCGCCTTGACTAAAGTAGGCGTAAAAACTTCTAAGAGACTACAATCCCAAGAGTTGTAGGGAACAAACCACCTTCCAAAAGACAAACCTTAGTACTGCTAATAGTTAATTGAAGGCTACAGGCCCATATCAACACCCAGGGGATTAGTGTAGGCGATTGCTGTCATTATTGCGCCATGGCAGCAAAAAATCCCACGGCATCTATTTTTAGAGTACGATGCGGTTGCGGGAAAAAGACTATGGCTAGAAACATAGTGGAGCGGCGAGCGAAGAGCATCGAGCCAAGCGTCGTTTACAAACCTGTATACTTCAATAGGAGCGCGCATAGTGAAGAGCAAAGCGTACAGACCCGTTTGTAATCGAGGCTACACTAAGTGCTTACCCTAACACGCCTGGGAGTGTTGTGGGCAGAGGTTAAGCGGATTCACTCACTGCCGCCCTCGAAACTGCTTGGTTTCATTGGAGCACTAGAGCTGGACGAAGTTTTGTTATGAGCTCTGAGGGTACCCACACTCGAAGTGCACATCCACTATCTAATTTATCTGTCTAGACTCTAGACTGATTCGCCTGTTTTTAACTTTTTCACTAGCTAGCAATCAGTTTTTTTGCAAAAGCAATAGATCAATCGCAAAACTTCACACTCATTCCACACTTGAGAAAATAACAGCTACTAAATATAATATGCTAGCATTAAAAAAATTCTAATTCTCTTTCTTTTTTTTCAGAAATACAATTTTCAACAACATGAACAGGACATTCCCATGGTGGTGTCATCGGCGCCCAGTAGCGCCTATTATTCCGACCTCTCGGTGACCGGCATGCCAGGCGGCGGCAATGAGCGTGCCTATGAAATTGTCGGTTTGACGGTTATGTCGCAGCCGCTGCCCAATTGGGATGGCAGTGGTGGCGGTGGCGGTGGCGGTGTTGGCGGAAGCAGTGGTGTCTTAGGCATAGGCGTTGGCGGTACTATGGGCATGGGACTCGGCAGTGTCGGTGGCGGACCGAATGAGGCTTCACAGCGACGCATACCACGTTTGGCAGCCATAAATGAGACGAGCACCAGCACTGTGGCGGCGACAGTTCCCTCAGATTATGTATGAAATTTGGAGGATGAGAGACATAGCGTGGCAGAGGAAGGTGTATAGCGATTTTAAAATGTTATTAAATTATATAGTATACATATATGTACATACATCATAGGAATATAGTATGTACATACAGTGTACAGTTATTTCGGTGGAGTTAATAGCGCAAGTTAATTAAATGTTATTTAAATAAGTTAGTGAAAGTGATGGTTAGCAGCACCTGTAGCAAACCAAACACAAAAAAACGACAGCAACAACAATTTTGGTGTATACAAATGCGGTGCAAAATGTACCGTTTATGAAATTCAACGAGCTTATGTAAATTTGTTTAAAAAAACAAAATTAAATTAATTTTTGTATTATCCACAAACTGTTAAAACAGTGCGACTCTTAAAAAAGCAACAAGCGCTTTTGTGTGCTATTTATTTATATATATACGCACGTAGTATGTGTGTAGGTTTTCTGTTAGATACTTATATATACATACATATATATAGTATATGTATCTAAATATGAAGTAATGTTGTATTAAATTTTGCCACACGCACGCTCGCATGTACGAATATTCTTATTTAGAAATTAAATAAAAAGTAAAAATAAATTAATTATACTCTGTAATTATTCTATTGTAATTGATTTAGTAAGTAAGCTTGTTAAGATTTAACGATTTAATCGTTGGTGATATTTAGCCTAAATATTTAGAAGCGTTGATGTGCGCTATTGAGGCGTGCATTGGCCACATCGGAATGTAAAAGCTGTAAATAACTCGTTTACTAAATGCGTGGCAACATTTCAAATCTATGTATACACACCTTTCGAGGATTATCTATTTAAAAGAATGCCAGAGTTAATCATTATTTAATGCATATTGACGTTCTTTAAGGACATAAACATAACATGAATATAGAATATTTATAGAAATGCTATATGTATGTAATATCTATTAGATCTTAAGTATGAATGAATTTAGTGCGTAATATGAGTTAAATTTAATTTGTGTATGTAAAATAAATATTTTAGTATAAAAAAAGGCATAAATAAAATATTGTATTTAAACTGCAAAAAGTAAATTATTTACATATGTATGTATGTATGTATGTATGTATGCACATAGTTAGCACTCGATTTTTCAGCAACTTAACACTTGCACTTTATGTTAAATTTTAATGTGCTATAAAACTGCATACCAACATTTTTCATAAAATTTCGATTGTAAAGTTTTTTTGATGAAACTGTTAAATTTTCCTAAGTTTTTTATAAAAAATAAATAAACAGCAAATAAACTAAACTAAAAATTATCAAAACTTGCTAAAATCTAGTAAACTACTTTTTTTATTTTTTTATTTTTTGCCAAACAAAATTTTTGCAGTTGTACATACATATATATGTATGTATGTATCAAGGCGAATTTATTTAAAATGGTGTTGCTAGAACAGCTGATTTGATTCGCCTCGTTACACGTGTGTCAAAATTTCTTATGAGTGAGTGAGAAAGTGAGTGTTTCCCCTCCTGCCTTGAGCGAAGAATAGCTGAAATAGGACCTTTGTATACAGAAAGCAAAAACAAAATACATGGAAATTTTTTTTGTACTACCTATACCACCTTATGTGAATTCGCCTTGGTATGTACATATGTACATATATCCCAGGGAAGCCAACTCGTGGGGAATTCCCCGATTTGCCGGGAGTTTCAGTTTTCGTGGGGTCGGGGAATGAACCTTTTTTTTTTTGGGGAATTCCAGTTTAGGTGGAGAATCGGGGGATGAACTGGTTTTTTGTGAGGAATTAGGTATTTTTTTCTTTTTTGCTTCATTAATTTCATAATGACATCAACATTCAATCATTTTCGTCGAGCTTAACTAACGGGAGGCCCAGGAAACGAGCTGTTTCAATGGGGTCGGACCAGAGGGTGAGGGGTGTTAGTTGAGTCGGATTGAGCTGGCATGTGAAGAGGTGGTTGGTGTCGTGAAGGGATTCTCCACATGCCGGGCACTCATTGGGGATATAATTTTCGAATTTTCGTTGTCGCATTTACTTTCCTATAGTGAATAAAACAATTTATTTTTATATGGAAGAAACCCGCAACAAAACTCTAAAAGGAAAATGTTTAGCCACTTGAAACTTGCACTTTATTATACTAGAACTGAGTGTGCTACAATACTGCATACCCAAAATCTTTCTAGGGAATCGAATTAAAAAAAAGCTCGAAATTTTTACGAAAGTTTGTTGATTTTTTTTTTTAATATTTCATAAAAATTGAAACTTGGATTTACACGGTTTTTTTTGGAGAATGAACTATATTTTTATAAAAAAAAATAACTCAAATTAAATAACAAAAAAAAGTAAATGTGAAAACTTGTCAAAATTTGGTGCGACTAAAATTTTTTCGACTACTGTATGAGTGTAATATTACATGTACATTTTTATTCTTTATTTTTTAACTAAATTTACAAAAGTTTGGTTTTATTTATGAGTACATAGACAAATTACATTTAGAAAAACAGAAAGACCAGCAACATATCAGAAGTCAATTTTTTTTTTTAATAAGGTGATATCTATGTGTGGTGAATTTTACGAAATTTCGTGCGAAATCGGATAATTCTCAAAAATGAGTTGGCTACCCTGGTATATCCTTAGCTTTAGAATTTACGTATTGTATTATGCCACTTTGCTCTATCCACTATGATAATTTCCTCGTAATTCTAATCTTCAAATATTTGTTCTTAAGTTAAATTCTATGTAATGTATAAAGCAAAACTTGGGTATAAAATATAGTTTATCATTTTTTAAGAAAATAAAATGAAATTTTATTAAGAAAAACTCGGCTCTTACAATTTAATCATCAGACAACTCATCTTAGGTCGGTGCTGTGCAGACAAACTTTTGTTTGGCAAATTAAATGGCGGCTGCTTAGTTTGCTCTGAGGGGGTTACACCAAGTTTGGCATTGAGTTGCACGTTAATTGTGGTTTTTTATGCAAAATTTCTGCATAACACCGACCTTATACAACGGGTTCAATCAGCAAATCTTGAGTATTGTCTACTTCAATTTTGAGTGTTGTACATAAACTACCACCATTGACTTTCCGTTCTGGATGGTTTACCATCACCTCATTTCTTGCAAATTTCTTCGACGTTTTATTTGTTGTACATGAACTACCACCATTGACTTTCCGTTCTGGATGGTTTACCATCACCTCATTTCTTGCAAATTTCTTCGACGTTTTATTGCGCTTAGGCTGCTTTTGATGTGTTTTCATATGGTTACGCAATGCTGCTGGTTGTGTAAACCGCTTGCCACACTCGTGGCATACATTCGGCTTCTCCCCCGTATGTCTCATTTCATGATATTTAAGTGTATCGGGCTTGGCGAAGCTAAGATCACAATAGTGACATGCATAATCTTTAGCACGCTCATGTACAGTGCGCACATGCGTTCTTAAATTGCCAGCATTGTTGCAAACCTTTGTACAAAAAAGACAGGCCCACGTGCGCTTTAGCGTATGATAGTTTATGTGTGCCTGCAAATAAAAAGAGGATTATTTTCATTTATGTACAGTATTGCATGTCCTTACATTCAATTCGTTTTTCGTTGTTTTACGCATACCACAATGTGGGCACTCATAGTTTTTAATACCAGCATGACGCATTAGATGTATTTTCAATTGTTGTTTATTCGAAAATCGACGCATGCAGTTGGGCTGATCACACGCATGTGGACGCTCAGATTGGTCCTTATGTGTATAGCGGTGATCATTTAATTTTGATGTCGTTTTAAATAGTTTACCGCAAATCTCACAAACTTGTGTTTTCAATTCGGGTTCCAATTTATGACATTTTCGCTGATGCAAGACCAGTGTTGTTCTGTGTTTATACACTTTGCCACAACCATCTTGATCGCAAGCGTATTCCATACTCTGCCCTTCATGTTGATTAAGATGTTGAGAAAGGCTTTGCCAACGCATGAATGATTTACTGCAATCTTTACGAGGGCAGGGATATGGTATAAGGCCTTCATGTTTACGTTTATGGGCAATAAGTTTGTGTTCCACAATGAAACGTGAGGGGCAAATATCACATAGATAAATAGTGTTTTTCTTAGTTTCGCCACTAGTTTTCGAAACGGCTGACTTGACCTTAAATAGATAGAAAGTTCATGCATATGTACTCACTAGCTTTTAAGAATATACATATACACATGTATGTTGGAACTAAATTTAGTTTAAACTTACATAACTTAGTTTTTTCTTCTCCTTCCTTCCTGTGTTAACATCAGTTTGAAAAGCATTTTTATATTCATTAAATGATGAATTATTTCTGAAGCTATCCTTTAAAACATCACAGTCTAAGGTATCTCCGTCCGAAACCAGCGCATGTTCTATATTAATATTTTGCGCTAATTGGTCAGGTGTTCTTGGTCTGCTAGGAACATTTCGATTGGAATCACTAATTATTTTGGTATCTTTTTCTACAGTAATATGAACACTTTTTGGTGCGAGTTTAATTTCTGCATCATTATCCGCCATAAAATTAGCTTCATCTACCGTAATGGAGTAACTAGTCTGCCCATACCCAACTGATATAGGAATTTCATCTTCAAAGCCACATATCTCCTGAAACCGCTGCAGTTCTTCGAAGCGACGCAAGGATGCATAACACATTTCTTGAAAGTTGAAAAAATCGATGACTTTCTGGCAGCAACATATACATAGATATTGAGAATATTTTTCGCTTGGATACATTTCTGATGAAATGCAAGCCGCGAATTTTCTTGCAAGTTCCGGTGTTTCGAAGATGTGCAAGCATTCATCATTGGTTAAATGTATCTCTTTAAGGCATGCTCGGCACAAACTGTTAGCATTGCGGAAGGACCCCTCCATGTTGATTTCGTAGTGCATCAAGTTAGCTAATAAGCCAGGTTATTCTCGCGATGTGTTATTAGTCGGTGCTACAGTTTGGTAGTTGCTAAATTGGAGCTGCAATAAAGTACGTGTTAAAGGAATTACGGAAATGTTTTACCCATTACATACACAATACCAATATGACTATAGATATTTCTTATTACGTTGACGAAAATCCATCTATGTACTTCATCCAATTGGAAGGGTAGTGGGTTAAACTTTTATTCAGATTTAGGTTATTCTTGATTTTATAGAGATATATTTTAGAGGACTTCTACTGAACGAAAATTCCTTTTATTTAAGAAATCAGCTTATAATAAACATAAACATTAGGTGTGTTTCTTAACATATCGTTAGCAATAGATGCGACCTTGTACCCAATCCGCGTTAACCCTCTGTTATGAGCCCTGTTTATAGGTTTGTTCGTCGAGCAAAAAGTTTGAAGAAATTTGTACGAAAGTGACAGTTCTCTTGGAGAGAAGTTGCAAAGTCTTGCTGGATAAATTTTAGCCTTGGCAGGGAAACTTGAAAGTTCTCAACACGAGAGAGAATTTGAGACATTTTTTTCTTACTCTCTGATATTTTGGGAGTTGGACAGTGATCGGAGGTAAAAATTCTGTGTTGTAGAATCTGGAAAAAAAATGTGGTAGATTTCAAAAATATGTGGTAAATCTCAGGTTTTGGATCAAACTTTGTATTTAATTTAAGTATAGCAAAGTGCTAGATTGAAGTTGCTAAAAATTGCATTGAGGTTTGGCAGTTTTTTCCTTGGCAGTGTAAAGCGGTTCCTTCCATATCAAATATTTTTCGAACATAAATTTTTTTGCAACCTTGCGGAGCGCTGTCAGCGTTTCATTCTATCACATCACGATGTAGCGAACAAATGTGGCACGTTAGGTCGGTGTTATGCAGAAATTTTGTTTGGCAAACTGCGTGCAATTGTTGTTGCAGCAAACTCGGAGAGAGCGAGTTTGGCGACTCTCACAGCAAACTAATTTTGTTTGGTCAAACTGCAGCAAACTCGGTGTTGTCATATTCAAAAATTTTAGACAATTAATGCTATACACAAAAATTGCCGTGATAGCGAAATCCAGAGAACTGAATTTATGCTGTTGGAGCTTCAAAGATTAGGGCACAGTTAATTGCCTATACGATATCATAAAAAATATATTAATTGTGAGCGTTATGTATATCTGAAATTCTCATTTCGTGTTGGCAATATCCATGAAAATCATAATGAACATGCAACCCTGTGCCAAACTCGACATAACCACCTCCGAGCAAACTAAGCCGCCGCCATTTAATTTGGCAAACAAAAGTTTGTCTGCATAACACCGACCTAATTGGAGTATGTTGGAGTACTCTGATGTAGTGCAGAGATGGAGTATATGGTTCTGCCCTAGGACATCGCAATGTTAATTGGACCATATTTTTTATATGAATTGTGGTTAATTTTGGAGTACTCCTTTGTCCTTCGGGAGTGCTCTTTACATGCATACATGGAGTAGACAGTGACGATAAATTCAAACATATTTGTTTTTCTCGTCCGATATCAGGTGAAAAGTATCAAAATGGACTGCGAAAAATTAACTTATTGGATGCCAAAACAAAAAAATTACATATAAATTCACATGTTTAGAGTATGTCAATTAAAATGTATCAAAATATTTCACTGCTTACAAAATTGTAATGAAAACTAGATTTGTGTGTACAAATACGGTCGGCAAATAATCTGGTTAAGTATGCGCAACAGTTCGGACGGTCAAATTGTTCGGCCGATATCAGTCGGTCTATCGGATGCAATATGCGCCTAGCGTAAGGGAGCCGATTTTGTCAAGAGGGAGCGAGAAAACTGTTTTTTGAGCAAACCTTTTATTATTGAATCATGGTTGGATCATGCGTTTGAGGTCACCTTAACACAGGGCTGCCAGACGTTTAGAGTATAAAATCCGTACACGGACAAAAAGTGGTGGGTGAAAAATCCGTACGCTCAAATTTGTTTGGCGAGCAAAAATAAAAATCGTTTGTACTTAGGTGAACACAGGAATCGGACTTTTATTGATTGCTTCACAGACAACTTTATTATTTCTCTGACTAGAACTTTTTAACAAGCAGTGTGTTCTTAGTTTATCTACATTCAACCAAACTTTCAGGTAGGTTTTCGATCCTACCGAGTAACAGTATAATGTTTGAAGCGATGGTTAAAGTGAAAAAAATAAAGAAAATTAGGGTTCTTTTTTAATTTTGCACAACAAAACTTTTCAACAATCGAAGTCTACAAATAAATTGTTATACATAATTTGAAAGGCCTATAAATCCCCTTCTCATGTTTGATTTTAAAAATCGGATGAAAAATAGCCAAGCTTTTAATAGATAAGTGCTGACAGGAACTAAAAGAAACCTATGAGATATGTGTAAAGAAGGAAAATTTTTACAGTATGAAAAAGACACTCCGAAAGGGGAAACTTTCCATTATGGCCATTCTTTAAAGGTGAGGTGAGCGAAGGGGGAGTGAGCGTGGCACCTCCAACCGACCTTTTTGGAGAGGGCATGAACCGCCATTGACAAAAATGCAACCCCCGACCACCTAGGCCGCCTATGGTTCCCCACGGACCCCTTAGAAAAATGGCCAAAAATCGCAATTTTTACTAGCGTCCAGAGTATTTTTGCGTAGAATTCCTTTCTGCGTAGGCGGCATTCGACCGCGCTTAGGGATTATAACCCTTACTACGTTGAATTCTCCTTTCTGTGTGACCTAACTGGGGCTACCGCCCCAGTGATGTAACCTTGGGAAAGGATGATTTTTTCTTTGTGATTTTTGGCAATTTTTCTAAGGGGTCCCTAGGGAACCATAGGGGACCTAGGTGGTCGGGGGTTGCATTGTTGTCAATGGCGGTTCATTACCTCTCCAAAAAGGTGCGTTAGTGGAGCCACGCCCACTTACCTCACGCCCACCGCCCCTTTAACGAACGGCCATAAAGGAAAGCGCTCCCTCCGAAAATCCGTATATTGAATCCGTACAACCATTTTCACCCCTGCAAATCCGTACCGTACAGAAAAATTCGTACATCTGGCGGGGCTGCCTTAAGCTGAAATTAGTCAAGAACGTAAACCTACCGGTACGTAAACCCGAGTCAGCTGACACGATCTGTCTTGCCAAAGCGCCATGTAAATGAAAACTCAACACCGCAGAATTTTTCTGTAGTTGTAGCCCGTAGCGCAGAAATCTGCGGAATTTAGATTTTTCCGTGTCAGCTGATTTCTCCTTCTTTAGATGGTTGCCACTTCGTCAGTTTTGCAGATGGTAAAAAAGTTATAAGTTCCTATTCGAAATATGTTTAAAATATTTGAAATTTACTATTAAATAAGGTTTTTGTTGAAAATTAAGTAGTTTATATTTAGTTACAATCTATTATAGCACGAAAAATTGTGGTTGAAAGGGTAAGTTTATGAAAAGGCATTGAAGAGTGGCAACAGTGTAGTAAGCAACACTGAGGGCTCCAGTAATCGACAAAATTCTGCGTATACAGACTGCGTTTAAGTATACGTTCTGCGTTCTCGACTAGTTTCAGCTTTAACATCGATGGCATACATCGATTTTCAAATCGATATTATCGATATTTCAAAACATCGATGCATCGTTTGCAGCTCTTTTCACGACAAAAATGTTAACTGGATAGGTAAACAACTTGTTTTGTGCATCCATCGTTGTGGCGTATCCATTTTTTAAAGAAAATGAGATGCCAAGTTTTGAATTGTGGCAACTGCAGCAAAAGTAAAGGTTCCAACTTCAGCTTTTACACTTTTCCCACTGATGAAGCCTTGTCAAAAAAGTGGGTACAGTTCTGCCGTCATGATGGCTTCAACACGAAAACGAGTGTGATATGTATGGAGCATTTCAGAGAAGATGATTATCAAAATCTTATGCAATTTAATATGGGTAAATATCATTTACTGCAGTCTATTTGAATTAAAGCTAATAAACTTTTTAGGACTTGCCAAAAGACGATTGCTAAAGCGCGGGGTCGTGCCATCAATTTATGAGCGCGGGGCCGTGCCATCAATTCAAGAGCGCGAAACGTCTGCTGAGAGGTATCCACTACAAGATGAATTTAACGTGGATTACCTACTAGACCAATATAATGGCGAAAGTAATAAAAATCATCACGTTTTAATTATTATATTACAAATTTCATTGGTTTACTACAGATGTTTTAAATGAATCAAACTGCCAATATCTGAAAGAGGAGATTAATATTGAAGATGTCTCGATATCACCTACGCATACCTCTTTCTATAACGACGACAGCCCGCAAGAAACTGACATTTTAAAAACGGAAATGTAAGTTAAACCGCAAAACTTAATTTGTACTCAAATGAAATATGTAAAAGTAATTTTTACTGCTTCATCATCACCAACATGTAGTTCTTACTATTACGACAACAACCAGCGAGAAGTTGCAGTTTTAGAAACAGAAATGTAAGTCACTATACCTCAGAACCGAATATACAAATAAGTTACATTTTTTAGAGAGGCACTTAAGCGGGAAAATGCTCTTCTTAAAAAGGATAATAAGAGCCAGCGGATCCAGCTCATGGATTTAAAACGACAGTCTAAAATACAGCTAAAGAGACATGCGTGGGAAATAGAGACGCTGCAAAAGCGTTTGGAATCAATGTCTAATGAGGTAAAAAATATGGAAAAAAAACTAGATTCCATGTTTACCAAAGGCCAAATAGCGGCACTGAAATCTGGTTCCAAAAACTGTAATTGGTCGAAAGAAGATATTGCCCATGCCGCTAGGTTATATGCTGCCGGTCCGCAGGCATATAAGCTAATGTACGATCAAAATTTTCCGCTTCCTGCAATTAGCACACTTAAAATTCGCACAAAAGAAGTGGGCATTTCTAATGGACAATAGCCTAGTTTTCAAAATTGCGGTCGTTAAATAGCCGCTTATCGCAAAAACTCAGACTAGACTGATTATATACTTTCCTGAATAATTTAAGTTTTGTGTGTTTCAAGGCACATTTTCATCAAATTAAGTTATTTTTTATAACATACATTTTACTATAACTCAAAGGATTCACATTACTCATATATGTATATTTCTCTTAAAAATTCCGACGAAATATACAAAATAATGTACATACATAGTTATAACTTAAGCGTTGCTGTTTCAGATGTAATAGCGTTGTAAAGGAAACTGTTGTCGATAGGTTTGTATTGTTTGGTTACAATTTTGATCACCTCTTGGGCCACACAACCGCCTATTGAGATAAAAATAATGTAATTTCATGCTTTTTTTTTAAATATATGTAAATATTTACCAACAAAAGCCGAAATTGAATGTATCTCCGAGCCGCCGAAACGACAAATTTCATGTATTAAGTCATCGCTAATCGATGCGTGAACGCCCCAATCTGAAAGCATTTTACTGGCCACTGTTTTAAGCTCTTTTACATCGTTCTCAACATAACACTCTCCGGGCACATTACCACATTCAGACACAAAGCGTTCATATGCACGCAAAGCTACATAAAGCTCGCTAAGTGTGCCTTGAATCTCTAGATCATCAACTAAAAAATGTCGAGATATATAGTTTGTGTGAGTAATATGCTAATTTAACATAAATTGTTTTTAAACCCACCGATTGAAAGTACGTTGCTGCTTTTCGCGTTCTCATCGGAAATTTTTGTACCACGCATGACGGCCAGGCCGGCTGCTTCCCGACAAAATAGGCGGGCCGTCTTTTCGCTAATTGTATCTTCGGGCAGTCCTAGCTCTTTTAAATATTTTTGGCATTTACGGTATACGTTGTCTGCATCATTTAATGCCTGTTGACGATAAATGTTCTGTAAAGTTATATAAGGTTCTGTATCCGCTGTCATATCCGGTAGCACTCCTGGCAATGGTAATAATCCGTTGTTATCGTTTTCTACAAATTCTTTCAAAGCTTTAACCATAATCCAGAATGGGTTGCTCTGCTTGTTAAGATTTGTGCACGCATTTTCCTCAAAAATAGCTTTGATTGAAGCAGACACATTGCCACCACCTAGGGCTGTATTTACTGCTTTTATAGCTTCCTCGTAGTTTTCTTCATCGGCAGTCATTGCTAAAATTTCACAGTTGAGTAAATATGGTTATCATAAGCAAACATATCATATCACCAGCTCGAATCATTTCCCGCAGTTTGGTTTTTTGTTTAAAATTATTTGGAACGTGGCCATTTGTCTCCTTCCATAACTGTAAGAATTTATTTAGCACCAACAGCCATGGTACTTTGCTAGTGACTTCTGTATTCTAAAAACCAGGGAGGAATTATTTACTTAGATACACATGCATTGGAGTCACAAAAATATTCTTAAATTACCTCGAAATGCTTCTTCAATGCAGGAAACGGTTGCTCTAACCGAAGGTCGTACTGTCGATTATCAGGATGTGATTCAATCACACAGTGTTCTTTTATTTGTAAACGTATAGATCCGAAAAATCCCAATGAACGGCAATAAATAAACGGAATGTTTGCTTCCCATAGACGTTCCGATAATCCTAATAAGGTCTTCTCATTGAGATTTGAAGCTACTACTACATCAAACGTATCAAAAAATGCAGGTCTATTCGATAATATCCAATCAACGCTTTCATCCACGAAATCGCCGTTGACATCAGTGTTTAATTCTTGAAGCAATTGCATACATGCTCTAGCTTTTGACTGGCCGATAAAAGAGGCATCCAAGAAGAAGCTGTTTAATAATAAAATTGTTTTCTAATTATTTATGTTTTAGCTAAGAACTTTTGAGTTCACATACTTTATTCCCAAGTCATCCTCTGTCACAACGTTACCATCAACAATACTAAAACCTCCTATGCCCGGCAAAACGAGACTTTTAAGAACTTCACACCCTAGAGCCGTTGCATTCAACAAGCAAATTGTGGAGCTCTCAAGCAAACTCTGACCATGTTCTCCCCATAAACGGATTTGTCGGTCATATTTCCTGCTTTTATCCGTTTGTTCTGGAGATTTTGGCGCCGGCGATGACATATTTGCAATTTTTCACTGCTGAAGGAATTGTAACAAAATAATCAGCTGATTTCTGCAAAGAAAAATGCCAATTGTTTTTGGTATTGAGCGGCTGTCTGTTCGATGACCTGTTTGGAAATTTTTGATGATTGCTAGCATTTTGACCACACTCTCTCGAAATGATTCAAATGTCAAATAAATTTAAAATAAACAAATGAAAATGTATAATTTTAAAATTTATACATACATACACAGGCTTCTTCCACACGACAGCTCAGAAAGCGTTCCTCACGCCAAAAAAATGGGTAATAGAGAGCGAATACCATCCACTTGTGTATCTTAATTCTCTTCTTCTTCCAGCCCGGACTTTCTTCCCGGGCAGAAATGTGCAAGAAGTCAATTTGAAATAACAGTTGTTGTTTGTTTTAATCCGAAAGCAAATTTTATAAAACACATAAGAAAATACCACAGAAGTGCACCGGTCTGGACTGTAAAGATTATAATAATATGGCATCGGTGGTCAAGAAGGAAGGGAGTGGAAATGTACCGCCTGCATAAGTGAGGTTACTTTCTACGTATCGAATGACATGTCAGAAGCTGATTGTGGTGAGTCTGCCGCCAAAATCATTGAGGGCATATTTGAAAAATACATCGTCCCGTTCAAAAGTGGCATTCGGTTCTTTCCCGTACGCAACACGGGCTCCCCCGGGTGCCCAAAACAGCCCAGAAATCATTCCCGCAATCAATAAAATGGGTAATAGAGAGCGAAAATTGGAACGTATAGGATGCGTAAGTGTCTTCTTCTTCCTGCCGGAAACAGCCCGGACCTTTTGTCCGCGTAAAAATTGATAAAGTGTCAAAGTGCATATCAGCTGTTTTGTGTTTACATGTTGCCTGCATTCACTTGGTGCTTTTAAGGAATAGTGAATGGCCTGTTGATGTATTTTCAATTTTTATATACTTAAAATCAAATTTGTGAAATAAAAATTCAATTTCCAAGTTTTTTGCATTGAAATGACAAAAACAAAGGCAACGTGAATCAGCTGTAATTCATCATTTAATGATTTTCCATTAACGTTATGGCTTATACTGGTTTTCGACCTAAAACTTGTGTTTTCGTCCATGTATAATCTTTCAAACGAAAACCAGTTTTCGCTGAAAACTACTTGAAAACTCACGTTCCACTCATTCCAATCGGTGTCTTCACTAGTTTTTTTCGATTATTTATCGAAGTGAAAGTCATATTTTATCATCTTTAATACGCCATTTCGGATTTATTGTTAATTGGCTGGCGAAAGTAATATAAGAATGAAAATAAAAGGCTTTTTGTAGCAAAACCGTAATCAAAAGATGTAAGAGATGTCAACAAAAACATTAACAGCCGGTGTGAACAGCTTTCAGCCCACAATCCCGAAACTTTTTTCCCGAAAGTTTTCAAATTGTTTTCGTTGTCGGTCAGAACATGGGATAAAGGACAATCGACGAACTATCGATTGCAATACAAACATTTTAATATTTATACTGATGAGGTGCTAACGTCGGTTGGGTAGATTTTTTCAGTCTGGTAGCTCTAAATGGAAACTTGGCCACACTGAGCACACGAACGTCTACGAAGCTGTCTTTTTTTAATGGCTGGCAATTTTTGTACTGAAGAATTCGACTTCGATTCGCTCGGAAGATAATACAATTTTTCATCATAAATACATATAAAAGATTAAAAAATTGCAAAATAATTAAATTAACCTGTAAGGGCGTAGTTAGCGCGACGGATAGTGGCGGCCCAGCAATTTATTTCGCGTAAAGTACACTGGAAGGTGAGCAAGTTTTTCAATTTTTCAAGAACTAAAATTCCTCAAAGTGATGTGTTGGAGCAAAAAAGTCAATTCAAAGACGTAACATTGGTTTTTAAAAAGTTCTTTACTGTAAAAGCTTGCTTAAAATTGCATTTAAAATAATCTTGCGGAGGCCATTTGCAGTGAAAATTGTTCGTTAATTTGCAAGTGCAATCGTCCTCGTACTTATGCGTACGTCGTGCGTGCAGATGTATGTGCATCGTGCATGGAGCACAGCAGTGAAAAGGTGGGGAGTCAGGGTAGAAGAAAAAACCAAAAATTCCTGATTTGGGTGCGTGACGTTTCTTGACAGCGGTGCGAGCGCGTGTGCGATTTTGTGTATGTGGTGGAGTACCAGTGGACACACACCTATACGTGCTGTAGTGAAACTCGTTGGGGCAGCGCTGCTGTGCTCTGCTACGTCGGCATTTTCTCAGCTTTTATGATGTTTTCATGTGGCACCATACGGCTTTGTGTTGCAGCGGAGCTCGTTAACGCGGCGGCGGCGATTCAT